ATGTTACGGAAACATTTTAAGGTAAAACTGGTTTTTTTGATTGGTTTCTTTTGGTAAATTTGGGTTTTTTTCGGAGGTTTTTTGATATTTTTGCATGTTCAGCTGGTTTCTGCTGGTAAATGGTTGGTTATTTTTTACCAGGAGGTTGAAGGGTGTTTTGCGTTTGCCATCTCACGAGACACTGAGGATACGGAAGAAATCGGCGAGTTTTTGGAGGAGGCAATCAAGGGGAATTGCGAGGGGTTGATGGTGAAGACTTTGGATGAAGATGCCACCTATGAGATCGCGAAACGTTCGCATAACTGGTTAAAAGTTGGTTTTTTTGCGGTAATTTCGGGTTTCTGGTTTTTTATTCGGAGGTAAATTTGTTTGGCGAAGGTTTTTTGTGGTAATTCTCGGTTTTGGTTGCTTAATTTCAGGTAATTTTCGCATTTTTTGGGGTTTTTTTGTAAAAATAACCTGAATTTTTGGTGAATTTCAGTTGAAAAAGGATTATCTGGATAGTGTGGGGGATACGCTGNATCTGTTGGCGTGTTACGATGCTGATTCCGAGGAGTATCAGTCGATCTGCAAGGTATGTAAGACGTTTGGCAAGCTTTTTGGATGGAAATTTTTGTGAAATCGGGCAGTTTTGGGCAAGTTTCGGGTAGCTTTGGATAGATATCGGGTAGTTTCCGGTAGTATATCGGGTAATTTCTGGAAATAATCGTGTAATTACCCATTCAGATCGGCACAGGATTGAAAGACGACGATTTGACATCGCAATACGAACAATTCGCGAGTTTGCGGATTGAGAAGGTGCGGATTTTGGGAGATTTCGTTGGATTGATTGATTTTTTGCGTATTTATACTTGTATTTATTTATTTGCTTGCTTATTTGGGTATTTATTCGTTTATTTATATTTGAATTTTGCTTTTTTGGGCAGTTTTTTGCGGTGTTTTGCGTTTATTTGCGGAGTTTTTGTGATTTTTTTGATTGATTCTTGATTTTTTTAAGCTTACGAGGAGATTTTTTAAGTTAACGAGAAGAATTTCAGGTTAAGTTGAGAGAATTTCAGGTTAAAATGGAAGAATTTCAGGTTAATTAGGAGAATTTTCAGGCGAAACCGTATTATTCGTACGATAGCACGCTGGCACCAGATCATTGGTTCGAGCCAGTGATCGTATGGGAGGTGAAAGCTGCGGATTTATCGATATCGCCGAGACATCACGCTGCGAAAGGAATTG